CAGAATTGATCAAGTCAGCACTGAATATGCAGACCTTCGCCCTGGGCAAACGATGTGTCCGCCAAAGCAGAGGAAGTCCCATGGGTAGCCCTCTCTCACCAGCTCTCTGCCTTATGGTCGTTTCCATCAGTGAACAAATTTGGTCCAGTACCTTCCACCAAATTCTCTCCAATCATCATTTGTTCATTCGACACATCCGATATGTTGACAATCGTCTCATCTTTGGTGACAAGCGCCTCACTGCACTTGCACCATATGAAGTCCTCCTGGACGAAGGCTTCTACGGAAAACCCATCATTCTCGAGACAGAACCTGACCAAGAATTTCTTGGTTTTATGCTCGAAACAAAACCTTTGGAGCTGATTTACCAGGGACCGACCAATATCTCTCAAGTCCTTTCACCCTTTTCAGCTTCCCCTCCAACAGTCCTACTCAGTGGTTTTCGCTCACGCTGCCACATCGTCATCAAGGGTGCCTTCCCAGCTTTTCGTGTTCAACAAGGTCTGACCCAATTAATTCATTTGTACACTCGCGCTGGGTTTCCCAAGGAGGAACTCCAGACAATCTCTGACCAACTTTTGATTCAGCATCAGAACCTTCCACCACAGTGTCAAATATGAGCTTCCCGCTTGCTCGTCAGGGTTTCCTCATGTGGTTTTGTTTTGGTTTTGGTTTTGTTGGTTTTCTCTTCTTTTCTTTCTTGTCTTTTGTCCTCTTTTGGCTTCCTCTTGTTTCTGTTGTGTCTCTTTCCTGTTGTTGGTCTCTTGGCAGCTTCTTGGCTCAACTTCCGCTTGTTCTTTCCTTCTCACGGTGGTATTCCCTCCGATGGATCACGCTCAGGGTCGTGCTTTTCATCACCACCTGGCTCGGGCCATTATGCATTTGAACTACTTGGCAGGGCTTCTTCCCTTTTTCGAGCCCTCCATTGAATGGGAGGATTCAATGCCTCCTCAACATTTCCGTCTTGACCGCTCGACATCAAGAGGCCTCCACACTTTCGTTCCTTTACCTCCATCGTCAATGTCACCCACAATGGTAACACATGGAGGCATCCCGTCACACATGGTGGAAAATCCTGAACCAAACCTTCGTCCCACCACCATGCGCCCTCCATCTTGTATGGAAGGGGACCATACGTCAACCACACCCGATGAAGGTCGTCACACAGTTCTCATGTCGGATCCTGACCCTAATCCGGGCAATCCATCCAGCACTGAACCTGGTCGAGGAAAACCTCGGACCACAATCCCGGTCCCGGTTCGATCCAAGCAAAGGGTCTCTTCAACCGTTGACCCACAACCAAAGAAGAGACAAAAATTGTCTACCCTGCCGGAAACTCCAATGTCAATGGTCAAGGGAGGGGTCACTCCTGGCCCACTCCCAATCACATCAGAGGTCATTTCCAATGCCCTCAATTCTGATGACTCTGATGGCGACGCAGCATCAGCAGCTGCTTCCGCCCATGACACTGAAGTCAACTATGGCCATCGTGGCGAGACCACATCCCATGTCACCTCCACCATTCCTCCTGGTACCTCCACACTTACTTTGACTCCAAACCCCAAGGCACCGGCTTCTCCCACTTATCGAACCCTTCAGCCAAATCCAACTGATCCACCTCGTGATCCACCATTCCGCCCATGGACCAACGCAGATGATCAAGAGCTGATGAGTATGAAACAAGACACAAAGTCCCGCCCTTCTTGGAAGACGATCGGTGCCAGACTTCATCGCGATCCCCAGGTATGCAAATTGAGATGGGGAATCCTGAAGCAAACGCTTGGGACTTTTGACCAACACGGTCGTGTCAACCCACCCCTCGAACCAGAGGCGGAAGATTAACAAACGTTACAGCACTGTCAATGCGAGAAAAAAGCGGTCCAACCTGTTGTTAAACTGGACATGTTATTGCCATCAGGTGGGTTTTTCCTCCTTTCCTTCCTTCTTTTCCTCCTTTTCCTCCTTTGTGTTTTCTTCTTCCTCCTTGGTGTTGGTTTGTTTCTCCTTCTACTTCTCGTACACCCTCAGCAAATATGGCTCATTCATCTACTTACGGACGAACCGTTCCTGAACGCTCTCGTTCGCGGGACGACCCTATGTGGCAAAGTCACCACTCACAACAACGTGGTCGACGATATGGTCCAAGACCTGAGGTACCTCCTGCACCTCGTCTTCGGAAAGTACTTGCGATTGTGGATCTTCAATCAGTACGTCCACTCATGAACAAAACCCATGATGACGTCATGGATGCCACGACATGCGATGTTTTACCGTCCCTGAGCAGGGTGGAAGAAAGAGCCCTGTTCACTTACAATGTCTTACTCAATACTCACCGTCTCGAATCTTTCACAGTGTACAACCTTCTCTACTGCATCAGCCAGCACATCTGGTACACCTGGGATCGCTACTTGCCCCCGTCTTCCATGGACATCAGATGGCAAGACGAGACTGGAGACACTTTCGCTCTCCGCAATGAGAACCGACTGGTTGATCTTCTTCATGATTTTCGTCCTCATTGGACTGAAGGCCAAGAATTGGGCATTTTATTTCCCAATGACATTCGACCTTTTACGTCTCACTTTCAGCCTTATATCATGCGCATGAGCTGCCATGAAGCCCTTCCTAATCGCAATATGCTTCCATGAGACGGATAAAAAGATCCATTTGCTGTCGCTGCCTTGTTTTCTGATGTTCTGTTTTTGTCCTTGTTTCCGTTTTCCTTAATGTTTCCGACCTTTTTGGCTCCTTTTCAGCCCTTGGCTCCAGCTCTACCATGACCAAACGTGACTCCCTGCTTGCCGGCTTCACGTACCCTTCATCGTCGATGAGCATGCCACGCCGTCATTCGTGGCGATCTCGAAGTCATGGATATCCCAGTAGCACTGCTGCACCTTCCAACCACCCATTTACTCCTTCTCGCAGTGTCACTGATCCCACAGCTTCTGATGCTGGGCCATCCCTCCCACCTGCAGGATCAAGTGATCAAACCTCCCACTACGGGTACTCGACGGCAGATACGGCCACACCCATCCCAGCTCCTGCTGATCACCAGATTCCAATTCTTCCAAGACTTGAAGAAGAAGCTTATCCACTCCAGATGGAATTGGCAGAAACTCGTCGTCAGCTCCATGCATATTACTTCGTCGAGGTTCAAACATCTCAAGCTGACAATTCCCAACCGGCACTTCGCCGACTTATCGTGACGGAAGTGGATCGACGCGGGGTCCATCGAAACAGGCAACCGGAGTTCTTCTTCAATGGGATCATTGGTCACATTCGTGCTGATAGAAACGGATGGATTGACTCTTGGGATCAATCCACCCAACTCGCCAACTACTGGCGACGGTATTTCCAAATTCCTGAAATGCCCCCGGATGGAAATTGGCATCAATATCATCATGAAGCTCCGGAAAGCCCAGTATCCATACAAGGATCAGGCATGGATGATACAGATTCCATCGCCGCCAATGTTGACATTACTCCGCCACCTGTCCAGATTCAACAGCTGGCCACCTTCTTCTGGAACATTCTCAACAATGACAGAGATGCCAACATGGCAATACTCGAACGACTCGAGGATCCAGATGATGACCTGACAAGACATCCGGTCCAGATCTTCTCGGCAGCAGACCTGGCTCACCTTGCCAGTCATCTGGCAGAATCCACTCGCACACTGTCAGATCAAGCCCTTCGAATGGAGGCACTTTCTGACATCAGCGATTGAACCTGCACATCGAGGCATTCTGAGCTGTAGGAATAATTCAGCAGCTGATTTCTTCCCTGTATTTTGATCTTGCGTTTATCGCTACATCCAGCTTCAGGGCACCGATAAGAGCTTTCCGAACCATTCCGCAAATGGCAAAAAGTAGCCTCGCGGCAGCGAGGCGTGTGTGTGGACCATCTGAAAAGATGTAAAAAACTTCTATCCGTTGACTTCGTTGCACTACTTGTTTGCTTTTTGACTCTTCATGATTTATTTTCCAATTTCAATTTTTCACGAAGGGGGGCACAGAAGGCCCATAGAGCTGTGCCCAACGAAGCTCTCTATGGTGTCCTTAGGATATCCAGGCTGATCACCTGGACGTACCTGCATCCAATTTTCAACAGTTTTGATGTCACTTTTCCGAAATGGCGACCGGCCAAGCCAAGAACCGGCATGTCGAATGTCAAACCAAAATTTGATTTTGCCTGTACGGTTTTCGCAATCTGATTTACTGCTGACTTCGTCAGATGGAACAGTTGCTTATAGCAAGGACGTAGAAAGAATTCTTCTCCACTGTTTCTCACGCCTGGTCATTCACTATTTCCTGTCAGGTTTAACTGAAGTGTTTTTGCACGTACGATGCATTCCACATCAGTAATTCGATAAGATGTTTCTGAGCAAGTGTGTGTGCGTATATGATTCATAACTCATAACGGTTGTGTGCCCTCAGGATTCTCCTGAGAACCTTTAGCTGAAGGATGGCAATCGTGGGTGGTGAAGTTTGCAAATGTATAGAATGGTGGAAACTTGAGTTTCCATGTAATTGCGACATCCACCCACCTCTAAAGCAGGCTAAGTCTCTCCCGTATTGGAAATATCACGAAATATCTGCGAAACACGTCACTTGATAGTTTGAATATTGTTGATCTTTGATTTGTGTATCAGCAAAATCAAGTGGACTGTTGAAAGTAATGAATGCACATCATCATGCTCATGCGATTCTTCTCAAATGTACTGGGTGGGCGCCCCAACTCGGAGCATCTAACTAAGAGTTGAGTACAGGCCGAAAACCTAGTGTCCAATCCCACACAGTACCACGGTACCCGATGTTAGATTATATTACCTCATGCAGCTGCGGCAGTTTTATTTTGTTTTCATGTTTTTTTCAAGCTTCTAAAGTGACAGCTGATTCCTAGAGATCTTGAGAGTTCATTTTGTGCAGTGCTTTGTTGCATTGACAGCTGCTTCATCCTGATGCAGCAAAGAACACTAGAAAAAGAACCGACACAAATGGCGCCTTGCAAGTCTGTCAATGGTTCGTCTCTTTTTGGCATCTGCCGGGATTTCTACAACCACAACTCGCGACTTTCCGTCCTGGATACAGTCATGTATAGTCATGTAGAGTCAAGCGGTCATCTGTATTATATAAACATTTCCAGCATTGCTGCCATGACCTGCTGCCATCATGTGTGACCTTGAACCCAGTCCTTGCTTTGTGCTCCAGTCTCAACTTGAATACCCTGACAAGGATGCTGTCATGTCTTGCAATGGTTTTGGCTTTCAGCTGAACTTCACAGTGAGACAAGTTTCTTGAAAAAAAACATAAAAGCACTCATTTGAAGTCCTGCAACATTCTGGCCTGCGGAACGTGGCTTTTGGACCACTCAATCCACAAAGGCACCCCATCCAGTTCTCTATCCTGCAATGCGTCCTCACATGGAGATCTTCGGCAATTTTTCGTGGAAACCAGCAGTTTTGCTGCGTTTTCTTTGCGTGTAAGCACTGTCTCGGAATGCAACAAGCGCATCGTGTGTCGTGTGCTTGGGGACATGCAGCGTAGGCAAGATTGGCTCCTTTGCTCTCTGAGCATTCTCACGACTGTCGATCATGACCTGAGACCGCTGCACAAATGTACCGTTCCGATGTGTAGAGAATACAGACAAGTCTCATGACTTGTCAAGGATCGGATTTTCTCAACCACAAGCGCTCCCCAGTTGTATGAACTCATGTCAGCCTACAATTCCAGCATCATAGCAGGGTTTTGCTCTCTTCGAGACTCAAGGAAGACAAGTTTTGAAGTCTTCGACATAGCCCTGGATGCGGCCATCATCCTTGCTTCGCCTGCCATCACTCATTCGCGAATGCCGAACTTCCAATGTCTCTTGTTTTCTGACACGTTTAATAAAGTTTAATGTGTTTAATGCAGACTCTCGGGAAAGACATCTATGTAAGTGAGCAGGGCAGACACAATGTCGACCGCCGTGACCGTGCCGTATCTGGAGAAGAGAGCGCAAATTGCATCCTTCATTCAAGCTTCCAGAAGCCGCCGTTTTTGTCAGGTCAAAACCACTTTTTTGCACTTCCACTCATCCAACAAAGTACCCAAACATTCCTCAAGCATCCAGGTCTGTAAAATCCCTAGAAGCACAAAAGTCAAAAATCATTCAAAGCGATGAGCATGGCGATAATGTGGCAAATAGGCGAAATGACTCATGGCACCGCAGCCAAAACCAAGTCCTCTGATACAGAGGGCGGCAGCTCACGCCTAGGATAGGGCGGAGGTGCAAGGATGGTGGCATGCGACATTTAAAAAACTGTAAGTTAAAGTGGTGCAAACGAAGCTTTGGTGCGAGGTTTCCGTCAAAAAACTGCAAAGTGCAGTTGTGAAAACGAAGCTTTCGTGCATAACTCCCCTTAAAAACTGCAGTTTGACGATGTGAAAACAAAACTTTTTCGCACGAGACTTCCTGGAAAAGCAGCAAGTTGACGATGTGAAAACGAAGCTTTCGTGCGAGACGTCCTTGAAACACTGCAAGTTGAAGTTCTTTGCAGTGAGTGTTTTTCGCGGTGACAGTTCTTTGCAGTGATCGTTCTTTGCGGTGAGTGTTCTTATTCTTTGCAGTGATAGGTCTTTGCAGTCATTGTTCTTTGCAGTGACTGTTCTTTGCAGTGATTGTTGTTTGTCCGTAAGACGGAAGTATAGATGAACTTCCTTTGATGAGATCGATGGTGCGTGAGTCAGGCTTGCACAAACCCACATCCGCAGGGGCAATTTTTGGAGTACTAAAGCATACAGTACTAAAGCATACTAAAGCCAAGTTCAAAAACATATCTGGAATGAAAAAGCTTTGGACTCCGGGCAAAAAAAGCAACGAAGCCAGTTCGTCCGCAGCGGCACTGGCACCACCAGCACCCCAGGAGCTCCCTGACAGTGAATGGAAGTCGAGGTGGACGGTGCATGAGCTTGGTACAGTCTGTAAGTTATCGATTCCAGGATTGGGAATAGATCATGAATCATAATAGATCATGGACAATAATTCCTTTGAAAATGCAGGATTCAACATTTCATACAGTTCCAAACAATCGAGCGAATCCAGATATTGCAATTGTGCGAAAAGAAAACTGTCAGCATCGGCCTCCAGAGCTGTTCGTTGCTGCGGGTGGGCGCAGACTCTCGCCAGCAGGAGGTTTGCCTGCAGCTTCATCAAGGAACGAGTATCGTAAATGCATGTAAATGCTAGTTTCATTGGCAACATTGCCCTAGACAAGAAGTGTCAACAAAACCACTTAACTAGACCAAATTGGCCAGAAGAGCATTACCAACAGTTGGACCCCTGCAAATGTGCAAAGAGATTGTTACTGAAGAAATGTCCTCCTGCTAGGGCTCCCAAAGCATAATTTTTGCCTTTCGAAGCAGAGACTTTTCGGCTCTTCGAGTAAAGAGATATGTAGTTCGCCTACAGCTGGTGGAGGTACCACTGGAAAGTTGAAGTTGGCATTCACCGCGGACACCTCAA